ATCCGCTGACAGCGTTTTTCTTTTCGGGCCACATAATAAAAATTAAGTTGTAAAATGTGAAAAACGTGCTGAAAGGCTTTGGGGCCTAAGCGAACTCTTCGATTAACTACGAATCCAACATTCCCAAGTGTGTGGCATTGAATTTTATGGCACTTTAATGTGTTGTGTGTTGTGTGTGTAGAACGGAGTTTACCAAAATCCAATTGCAGATCGAATCGGAGATAAGCCAACTTTATGCGGCATAACAATAAAGAAAAGCGATTCTTTCAGCGTGTGTTGTGGTTTCTAAATTTTGGGATTAGTTTTAAGCCTAACAATGTGGAAACTATAAGGTAATGAAAGTTTAGACATAATCAAATCTTCGGGAGCTATAAATTAAAGATTTAAATGCTTAAGGTGTAGCAGACGTCTTAATTTGCTGCATTATAAGTTTGTCTAGAAAATATATAGATATGAAGAGCGAACAAAATGGTCAGAAAGTTTAGTGATTATGGAAATGAAAAATAAACATTTCATTAATAATCAAATTAAATGTGATCTTAGAAAATATAATGTATTTTCTGTCTAAAATTAAACTAGCTTTACAATCGCATCTCAGACCACATAAGGAGCCCTTTGGGCTATTTCCATTATTAAAATCTATATCCTATTCAAAATGCATAATGCCGCTCACAATACACAACGTAGAGCAATGAGAAATTGAGGTTTCATGACTCTTAGCCCGTTTAAAGAGAGTGCTGAACTATTGACCTGAATAGTTATTCGATTGCCCCACGACGAAGTCATCAATGACGTCGCTGATGATGACTTGTGTTTGATTTGGCCGAGACTCTGACTCTGTCCGCTGACTCAGCCATCAACTCCAACTCCAACTCTGACTCGGAATTGAAACATTTCGCCAATTACAAGACGCAAAGGTTGAGCGAGGTCAGCACACTGGGAAAATGCATGCCGACAATGTGATTATTTGGGTATGAACTTTTATAGGATAGTAAATATAATATGCCAATTATACGACTACCTACTGCATAAAACTAACAAGTTGATGGGTATTTTATCGTTTATTGCAACCCGTTCAGACAAGTTCTAATGCAAGGGAAAACTAGTTTGGCACGTTGTCAATATCAATTACAAAATGTGGGCAAGTATGACATTTATATTCAATGGAAAACATGAACAGCTAGCCCACCACACATTTATCTAATAGAGTCATAAAACTGTGATTTGAAACTGTCAAGCAAAGCGCCATTTGTGCAACATTTTGAGAGATTTCTACCAATAAAATCGTGAGATCTTTTATGGCATTGGACATTTTTGTGGCAATTAACAGCCAACATTCAACGTTGGCCGACAATTAAACGAAACTGTCAGCCATTTATCTCGAAGCGTCGACGCGACGTGACTTCCCAGGAAGATATGCCAGGTTTTCATTTGCGCCTCCATAACTGGCTAGTCAAGCCGGATAATGACTCGAGTGGTGTATGGAGAGGGGGGGCAGACCAAGCAAAAAGGGTCGAGTTTGCCTGCTCTCTAATTGGCACCAAATATGGCAACTGGCTTGCACTATGGCCAAGGCTGTGGTATGCAGCAAAAATATGTCAAAATGTGACAAAATGCGTGTAGAAGCCACAACGCTCCAGGCGGGAGAAAGGTACAGCCTGCTGCTGCTGCTGCCGGTAAATCCACAAGTTGCTGGCCGCTGGCAAAAACACCATTTAAGGTGTTCATTAGTTCGACCAGAAAACTGAGAATCGCATAAGCAGAAGGGACGTCCAAAAATGGCAGCAAAATCTCATCAGAGTTGTTGACCATTTCTGCAGATTACGAGACAAAGATCATCATTATCACCATCATCATCATGAGTGAAGATCGATAATGATAATGTCAGAAAGCCACAGCGATCAATCGCAATCAGCTGTGCAAAAGTTCCATTGTCTGCACAGGTAGAGTGAGAGCGGCGAGAAGACTCTCTTCTACAGCTACAGCTTCTTCACTCTTTCGCTTTCTTCGGCATAACTGTAAAGCTTGTGTGCCCTTAAAAGTCATTTGCCGAACTTGCAGTTGGAAATGATGAAGCGATTTTCGCTCAATTTACATTTTTAAAATACGAGATCTCGATTATTGTCTGCCAATCGAAGGCAATCGTAAATTGTCCTCAGGTGTAAAACAAAATCAACTTTCACTTGTCGTGTGCTCGCGTTGTGCCACATGTTGCAAGCAGTCTTGCATATATACATATATTTTGGCTATAGTGTCGACGAGCTGATTGCCTTTTTGAAAATTGCAACATCTGCGGTCCAACTAACTTATAAATATGTATTTTAGTTTTCTATTTATCGCATCTGTTGCTGTTCGCATATTTCATGGCAACAGTTGACTTTGACTCGCACTCAGATCGGCTTCTGAAGCTCCTCTCATTATTGGCTCATATTTTGACTAATGCACAACACAGAATTTTAGCTTGTTAAGTGATTTGTCTAAAATTAATTAAATTGAACATTTTATGCCAAGAATGCGATAAGCCAGACCACAAATAAAGCCAAACACGCAAGGCACAAATGTTAGCAACGGCCTAAAAGAACTTGCTATCAGACACTAAAAGAAAAATTATAGTCTCCAAGAATTTGACACTGAAAATAAATTAACTTTAATTGCGGATAAGCATATTCAACAATATAAACGATGGCAGTGGAATAAATAAATAATAATCGGATGGGTTTAAATGGAAAAAATATTAGATTAGATATAATTAGAAGTCAGACTTGTATTAAAGTAGTAGTTGTTTTAATATATTATAATCACATATTAATATTTTAAGTTTGATAATTTGACTGGTTTTTGCTGAGTCTAATCAGTTACTATTTAAACATTAAACATGGCTAAAACAATTTCTCTTGGTGTACGCATAATCAAGCCACAGGACTTAAATGGGGTTTAAATTAATGGGCTTTCGGTAGCACGGAAAAGACAGCCAGAAAAATCGACTGCGAGCCGAGTAGAGAACAGAACCATTGCCATTTTGGTGTAGGAGTCTCGCATAGCCCGCAGGCAACTCAAAAGCCTTCAAGTGGCGTCTGACTTTGGCTTGGGCATTGGCAATGGCTCCGTCGGGCGATGGCTAATCAAAATATTTAAAATAGTTGCCCGCAGGCCGCAGACGCCGCTTGTAAGCACACCGACTGGCTAAATATAGCTGGGAAAGGATGTGCTTGGAGACGAGACTCCACCTACTCCGCCTCCTTCACTCTTGCCTCTCAAGTCTGGCGTGCGCTGGCTACATAAATTATGAAATTCCCCCTTGGTCTCGCCTTGCTCTCTTTAGCCCATTAAGCGGCGACTTAAGCAATCTGCTTAATCATTGCGCTTGGCTATTGGGCTGGGGATGGGGGAGGCAAGTGCCACAGGAAGGGGAGCATTGTAATTGCGCATGCGCGACATGCTCCAGCGGCGGCGGCCTCTTTAAACTATATAAGAGTATCGTATGTAAAATATAAATAATGCCTTTTACGCACACTGCATTGATTGGATAAGTCCCCCCCTTAACCCCCAGTCTCACCCTCTTTTTCTTTCTCTTAGGCACTCGCTGGATGACCTACTAAACGCATTTATTTGACGCTGCTGTTGCTGACACCTCCCTTCCCGCCCACCTCTTTCCCCATGGCCAGACTCTGCCGCCTCGTCACGCAACATTGCGCCGTTCTGGGCGTGCTTTGGCATTTCCCTTTCGTTGAGCGTTGAAAGACCCGTCCAGAGAGCTGAAGCCAAATGTTATCTTCAAGGTGTGCTAATTTCAGTGATTAGACATTATTATGAGCGGGCCTAATAATGGGCCAACACAAAACAGTAACTGATTCTGACAGCTAATTGGACAGGAATAAACTGAATATAGAGATATATGTCTGTGGTCTCTCTGTAGATACAGAGATATATCTGTATGATCTTGACTTTTTAGGTAGGCTCTATTAAAATACTTAAAACCCTAATTTTATTCACATAATTCGGCAAGAATATAAACAGATTGCTTATCATGTCTTAATCTTTTCATTGATACTGCAAACTAATAAAAAAAGTAAGAATTTGCTTGGAAAAGCCATTCAGTAAATAGGCTTTGGGATATCCATTGATCTTTCGTCAATACTGACAAAGTCAAAAAGGCCAGTTTTTTATATATTCTCAACACTCCTTTCGAATTCTATATATGCAGTGCACAAATTTAAAAAAATAATATAATATGCAACTCACCTTCTGAGCCACAATTTCCCTAACTGAACATATGTTTCTGTGAAAAGAGTTTATCGTGTTCCCTAATTAAATTACCATGAATAACGCCTCTCAAACTGTTGACGCTATTCGGATTACAATCGGTTTGCCGTCTTGGCTTTGAACTACAAAATAATCGATTCGTATTGCCGACTCTATCTCGAGCTAAGCGAACCCATAATTATAACTTAATTTTTATAACATTTCAAACGCTTTGAGGCGTAATCATATTAATTTCCCATAAAATTCTCTAATTAGTAGCTCATTCAAGGCGCCGCCCGAGGCACAGCTGGTGGCTATAAAAACGAGCCCAGCCCAAGATTTTCCAGCGAGTGTCAATCGGAAAATGCGCTGCATGACACTTAAAAGGTCATAAACATGTCCGAGCCCTTTGCATCAACTTCATCTTTGTGGCTGGATACGGATCACAAGAAAAATTGGTAAACACATTTCGTTCCCAAAGGGTGGTCGTGATTGCGGACCTACTCCAGAAGTTTCCCTCCAACACTTAATTATGTATTCTATATGCATAATTTTCTCATTCAAGGAAATTTTTGGGGCAGGTTGTGGCGGCGCATAAATTTTGATGAACTGAAGTTATAGATGATCTTGCAGAGAGGGTATTCAGTATGCGTTGTCATGCAACAGGGGCACAAGTGGTAGATATACATGAACATTGGTATTTGTGTTTATATTTGTTTTACGTCACGCACTTTTAAAATATGGAAAGAAGAGATACAGAATTCCAAGTGAAGTTCAAGGCTGTTAGGGTGAGATATATATAGCAAGAATCTTAATATTTTTAACAGCCTTTTCGAGCAAAATATTCGAGTACGTTGAACAAATTACTTTGATTTGAGATTGACTTCATTATTAAGAATATTAATTATGATTACGGATCATCCGTTTATCTTTTTCTCTCACCCTCTCTCGAAGCAGCGTTTGCTAATGAAGCACTCAAATTGAAACCTCCTCGAAGAACCGTTTTTACCGCTAACCATGCAACCAATTGTGTTTTCTTTCAAACTGCTGAGGCAATGTTTCCTGGAAGCCCAAAAACAGACAACGAAGAAAAACAAAAATAAAATCGACAACAAACAAGAGAAAAACACTAAAAAAGGCAACCTTGTTAGCACTTGGGGCAAAGTCGGTGGACTCGAAATGCACCCACAAGAAATGCAACAAACTTGTGGCAATTTACATAACAAGACCAGCTCCCAAGGCGAGAGGCAGACAATCAGTGGCGCTACAGCAACCCAAAGCCTGTCAACGCATAATCCATCAAACAGCAATGTACAGCAACAACAACATGTGAGTCACAACAATTGGCAGTTGGTGTAGCTGCCACTGCAACGACTCTACATATGTTGCTAGACAGCGAGAGAGAAAGAGATAGAGAGAGAGAGAGACACTAGTAGAAACAAACACTGAGAAGTGGTAAACTGGGTAGAGACCCCATGGGCGATCGAAATCAATTTGGCGCTTTAGCACACGAACGTGCCCCAAACATGACACGCCCACCGCCAGTCCAGTTCTCCCGTGTGCCGCAATGGCCCACAGGAATTGTAAGTCGCTCCGACTTCAGTCTTCAGATTGCGCCTCAGCTGGCACCTAACTCTAATTGGGCATAATTTAAATTCCGCTCGTGAGCGCCATGAATTGTATTTAACGTTTTGGCGCTTCCAAAGTTGGAGCCCAGGCATCGATACCATACACACACATACATACATATACTAGACTCGATCTGGCATTGGCGGTAAATTTCATTTGATTTTATTTGGATTTTTCTTCTTGTCTTTTTTTCATTTATTTGGTTTTTTGTTTTTCTTATTTTTTTTTTTTGTCGAGGCCATTTTTGCCTGGTGCTGCTCTATGCCGCAGCTAGTAGTCGAGCTTGGAAAACTTCCTTATATGTATGAGCTTTGTTTGCGCTACCAAGCGACCCTCCCTCCCTCCCCACACCGCCCACTTCTCACAATTCGCTGGCTTAATTGGTTTTGCGCCTAGAGAACTGTGCAAGCGTACGATGCCTTAGTTTTGATTAGAAGGCTGCTATTATAAAATTGAATACACGAGTTCCTTTAAGATTCTGTGTGAAAGTCCCAGACGAAGCGAAGCTGCGATTTCTATCTGGTCATGAAAAAATTGCATCACTGGCTGGAAAAAAAAAAAAAAAACACCGTGCAGCGTTTAGTGGGTCATAAAGTGCCTAAAAGCAATTGCAACTCTTGACCCAACAAGTGCTCGGAGTAAGGTATTTTTCAAGAAATTTCTATAAACCAATAAGAATCTTAAGAATCCGAATACTATTCGCTTTAACGCTGAACCTTAAGTACAATTGTCACAATCTGACAGACCGGAAAACTATATTATAAAGCTGGCATAGAAAGAATTACATAAAAGTTGTGTTTCTGTTTAAAAGAGTAACTTGTTTTGAAGACTTAAGCAAAATTGAAGAACTGTATAACAATTATGTTTCTAATTTCTCCGAGAGAAGAAATACTGCTAAATAACTAATTCATTTTCCAACCTTCTTACCTGAAAGCGATCTGTGGCATCTGTTGTTAGTCATATGAATCTGTCTGTCAGAGTATTCAGCATTCGCCACTGCTTACATAACCCTTCTCCATTTTAAAAAGTGCTTACTTTCAAGCACGACCTCTAATTGTTTTCAATTGCCAGCAGGAAGTTGTCACACTTCATCAAGAGTCCATTCCTAACTCAATACACGTCGATCCGAACCCATACCCGTATCCGTACCCAAGCCCGAACCATTCCCAGAAAAAAGAAACCAACTTGTTGGCGTGCCAAGGCCAAACGTGTCGTTGCGCCAAACAATTTGTAAGCCATCATTTCAATTAAGACGCATAAATCACAAGGAAATCAGCAGCAACAGCATGGATGATGATGACGATGTTGATGATGATCACGATGATCATGATCCTCGGCGTACACATCGTTATCCTCAAGTACTTACCCAGAGCACTTAAACAGGCACTGGGCAGGCGCACAGCCTACGCAAGCCAGCAAGCAAGGAGAACCTTTTGCTTAACTCGTTGCCGCTCTGGCAAACGAACCAATTTAAACGGAGCAGACAAAGGGCGACCGACTTAATCCTTGTCATGATGATGGTGCACAGAGTTCGAGTTTGCGAATCTTGAATTCGAGGGCATCCGGGGAGCACTAAATAAGGCAACTTCGAACTTACAACTGGCAACTGCAATTGCATTGCAGGCAGCTCGTGAAACTGCTGTTTCACGCTTCGACAAATGCCCTTTGTGCTTGGTGCTGCTTAGCACACAGACAACAAATTGCATCAGATACAAAGCGTACTGCCAGATACTTTTCGCGTGGTGAACTTATTAGGCACAGCATTTCAACAACAACAACAGCAACATTCTGAGCTGATGATGCGGATCAGGTATTTATGTGAGTGCCACGAATTGAGTTGCAAATAGCCAGCGGGCCACTTGAAACGTGCGCCACCGTTACTAAAAGTGCCTCAAGTATCTTTCAGATACTTTACGAAACAGATACATTGTTCGTTCCGTGGCGTTAAGTGCCGCCATTCGTTGCAGATGCATCACCTGCTGCGTTTGCCGCGTAAGAACAAAAGCACCGCAAGGATAAACAGGAATGCCCGTTGGACAGTTCTCGGTGTCCCAGTGTCCATCCATCCCTAACTGGCAACTGTCAAAACGAATTTAGGGCCAAACAATAAAGTGTAAAATGCAGAGACAAGGGCCGAAAGGCACAGGTTGCGGGCGGGAAACAAATGTTTTGCTTTTGCGCACCGGAAAATCCCATTGAGCCCAATACGTATTTCTATTCTTCAAGTACCTGTGAAGTCACAGCTGAGGAACAACACTGGAAAATCAACAGGTAAACACTAGAGCACAGACCAAAGCCGGCAAAAGAGAGAAAGAGCCCGTGTGGGAGCGCGGAAGTTAAGAGCGAGTGGTCTTCAAAGAGCAAGAAATGATCGCGTCTTGTGGAACTTGGCTTTTCAATATGCTCAACAAAACGTGACCTGGCTAAGAATTTATATAAAATTCAATAATAATCGGTTATAAGGCAATATCATTAAATGATTATAGGGATGTGATTTTAAAATCATTTATTCATTCGAATTTAATCCCAAGAGAAAAAAAAATATATATACATGTATATATTCATCTGTATATTCAATAATATAGTCTGTTAACAGTAAGTTAAATCTGAATAACATTATTATTATTAATTATTGAAATTATTAGCAGGATTAGAAGTTATTTTACATACTTACTTTTCTTTACGCGAATTTCATAGCACATCTAAATATCTAAAAGAAATATTGAAATGATGCATATAAGAACTAATTAAACGCTAGTCGATAAAAATCCCTTCTTAGTATCTATTTGATGGAGCTACGAAATATTCTAGAAAAATAAATATGCAACTGCAGTGCAACTAAGAGAGTCGGCGCAATGCGTTCCACAAAATGAAGCAACTCAGACCCAAATGCCACTTGCAACCAGTGTTGCTCGTGTGCTGGTTTTACAGCCAGATCTTGCCATTTTTAAACACATATCTGGAATATATTTGTAGAACTGCTGCAGCTATTGATTTTCTAAAAGTCGCAATAAAAAGCAGTTTCTAATAAAAATACCTATTCAAAATTCGAACTGTCAAACAGTGAGTAAAATTACTAAATATATGTTGATATATCCATAAAATCATTTAATTGAATGCTTAAAATTGCGTTTTAATAATATTAGTTTTCAGCCGTTTTTTTTTTTGTAGCTGCAACCAACTAACTAAAGTTGGCATCACTGAGTGCAACGAACAAGCGGCACGATCGTCAAGCCGGCACGAGCGATCGCTTCAGTTTGAATTTGACGGTCGTTTGTGTAGGACGCAGCTCTCGCTCGAGTGCCGAAGCGTTGGGATTGGAGATCGTCGTTAGTCGGTGGTGCCGTCGATCGGTTAAATGCGCAGCGCCTCCGTTTGTTGTTGATAGTGCGGCTTGTTCTTAGTTTGCATTCGCCTGATAAATGAGTGTGTCATAAGAATTGCTGGCAATCAAATGGTAATGCGGTGCCAATAAATAAAAGCGAAAGTGATTTATGCAACTGCAGCGATAGATCGTCTCTATATATACATATATATATATATATATATATGCATATATATTGATAAAAATTGCATTTATTTTTTTTGTTTTGTCGTTTGCGTTGCACTTGCGTCGAGGATATACGAAAATAGCCAAAGAAAATTTGTCGCTGTCGGGAAAAACGTGCGAAAATGTGTTGCGCTCACACGAAAATAAAATTAAATGGCGCAAAAATGTGCGTGAAAAAATAAATAAGAAATGAGAGATAGAAATGAGCTGAAATACATATAGAAGCGTATTCGCATACCACATCAAATCGAGTGCAAAAGGAAATGTGTACAAAATAAAACAAATAAAAGTCAGCCAAAACGTCGCGTCGACAGCTGACAAGCGGAAATTGTAATAAAAAAAAAGAAACCAGGAAAAAAATACAAATTAAATTAAGTTATGAATGAAATTTCGTGGAAATGCTAAGTGCGCGATTGGCTTAATATAGGAAAAAAGCATTTCAAAAGAAATATAGAAAATTTAGTTCCAAGTTCAAAGTTGATGTGAGTGCAAAATGTGCCTAGTGTAAAGTTCAAGCTGGGTTTTACAGTTAATATTTTGTGTGAAAATGAAAACCAGAAAGTTATTTAATTGGGCCATGTGCTGCCTTCTGCTGCAGTTGCTGATCCTGCTCTTGACCCATGAGGCTCAGTGCAGGCGATCGTCACAGCTGAAGCGTTTACAAATTTTATCGCCGGCACAAATGCTCAAGGAATACAATCCGTTGGCGACAAATGTGTCCGCTGAGCAGCTGGATGAGAGCATTGTGTCCTGGACGGGCGCACGCATTCAGCAGCCGCGCAGCAAGCCGAGCGAGAGGAAAGCCCAAAAAACGCGTCGTCGTAAAACCAAAAGTGGCCTCCTGATCGAAAGTAACATCAGCGATGAGCTGCCATCAGCTTCCTCAGAGACAAGCTCCGGCTCCAGCTCCAGAACGGGCAAGAAGACCAAGCAGCGTGGACGCAATGGACGCCTCCAAAGACCAGACGGTAAATCGAATACCAATGGTAAGTTGCTGTTGCTGTTGCTGTTGTAGTTGCTGCAACAACTAGCCATAACTATGAGTTGCCTAATGCCCAGGCTTGGACCAACATTCTAAATATGGCTTTGATCGATTGTTGCGCCCAGTCACAAGAAGAAGCACAAGAAGTCGCCTCGTTATTGCGGCTTCCTTGTGTTGTAGGCCTCTCTGTCGTGTCGGACGTGTCGCTCGCGTCCATATTTGGCCGCTCTCAAGTTGAAAGAACTTTCATGTGAAAGTTGTGACAGGAGGAAGAGATTTTTTTTATATTTCTTCTTTTTACAAGTAATTCTATACGTTATTACGTGAGAGGTCCAGTTATGGGCCAGCAATGCTGTTGTTGCCTTTGCCGTTGGTCTTGCCTCTTGTTATCGCCCAGTTGTGGTTGTGGCATGCGCAGCACTCGTTCTTCTTCTTCTTCTGCTTCTGCTTCACTACTCTTTGGGATGTGAACTTTGCCTATTAGACAGTTATCTGCATAACTGTTTGACCAGCTCAGAAACGTTAGATAACAACCTAAACATGGGTTTATATTTAAAATATTATTTTTCCGCTGTATATTGTAAGCCTGTCTTAAGCTGCAAATATGTTAAGTTCCTTATCAGTTTCAGTTTTAAGCTTATTTTTTAGGTTAATGATCGCATTTTGGACGTCCACTTAGAACTTATAGACTTAGAAGAAAATAGATAAGTTTTATTCGATTTCGTCCATAGTCGGATCATAGATAGAAAATAACAAAATATTTGATCAATTTTCTTAACTTGTTTTAACAAGATTTCAATTAAACTTATGTCACACAATAAGTTTATAATGCTCACGACAACAACTGTTATTCGCAGTCAAAACAAAAAGAACAATTGAACAGCAATTGAACCCATTTCAAAGACCCACAAAATGAACTCAAAATAAAAAATCCAAAAAAAAAGCAGGGATATGCCCGATAGAATATACACATCGCTCACATGTATGTTGGTGCATGTGTGTTTGTGTGTGTTTGTTGTTTGTTTTTGTTTGTGCGGGCTTGTGTGCACTTCAGGGCATTTTCATAGATTGTCTCAGATGTGCATATATGACCCCATGGTGAGGACAATAGCGCCAGGCTCTACTTAGATGCCGCCTGCTAGTTTTCTAGTCTAGTAATTGTGGTCGAGCCTAAAGAAGATGCCGTAACAACAACAGCAACAACAAAAACAACAGCAACAATGTAGACAATGGCCAATTGTGCTGGGAGACACATGAGTATATAATGGATGTGCCAGTTGCGTGCGTGCATCCTCCACTGGGTATGTGGCAGGAACCACAAACACGCGCTAATAGGAACATGTGTTCTCCAGCTCACAGTTCGCCTGGGTGTTGACCAGAACTTGTACATATGTGAGGCCTGTTCTAGCACCTACCCTGACTGGTTATAAAAATTAAGTGGCTTATTGTGTTGCGTCGTTGAAATTTGTTATGGCCTAAACCGATTTCCCGCTTGAATATGCATTCCTGTGGTCTTTTTGAGCTTATGACTTGCTAATAGATAGGTTGGTCTTCAAAAGATCCGTGCTTATTAGATATTTGGTGTTCAGAATTGAGAAGAGAGAGAACGAAATTTTATGATAATCGCACGTTAATGTGGACATTTGTTTATAGAATTTAATGCGGTTAAAAAAAAAAAACACAATTGACCCAGTCAGATAAGAAATCGAATTCAATTTAACTATAAATGATTATTATATGATAATGTTTAATAAAATGTTGTTTTATAAATGTATGAGGTGAGAATTGCTTGGGTGTGCTCTCAATATATATGCAAGCATTTTCAACAGCTACATTTATAAATAGTCAACACACACAAAATCTGAACGCCAACTGAATCAACTTTCAAGCAAGTCATCAAATAATTTAAGCAGCTCCGATAATGATTGCAAATTGAATACGATCAGGGGTTTTCTAAATCATTCAATTGTAAATAGATAACCGGCAGTCTGTTTAAGCGTGTAGTCAAGTGGGCTTTGAGCTTTGAGCGGTTTGAGCCAGCGAATTGATAGAGCAAATTATTGGCGATTAAATTGGCGTGTTGACTATTTATAAAGCTGCAAAGCGGCAGCAAGATTCAATAGCTATTGGCATTAATTGATTGATGGCTTGTTTAGATTACAGAAAATGAAAGTTTACTGTGTGCGCCGCCGCTCGAAATGGGTCAACAAGGGGCAACAGATACAAGTTACAGATACAGATACAGTTACAGATACATTTAGGGAAAAGATACAATGCTACTGCATGGTAGAGCCCACGCTGCTTGCATTTCCGTTGTTTTTGTCATTGTCGTCGTCGCTGTGCTTTGAGCCATGGCTAATCAGCACAGGCACTCACACTTTATCAGCTCATTAGCTGCTACGTGTGGATATATATATATATATATATATATATATATAAAGTATGTATATGTATATTTCTCGATTCTGTAAGTCATGGGCCAACTCCTTTTAACTCATATTTACACACGGCAAGCGGGAAAGCAGCAACGGCTGCTGTTTGCTCATTGAAAATATTGTTTGGAGAATGCATTCTTCAGCTCTTCAATTCTTCATTGATTTTTAACGCGGCTGTTTTATTTTGTTTTGTTGTTTGCTTCTTGTTAACTGCATTACACAATGCGAAGAGCTAGACATTTAGATTTGTGGGAAAATGCCGCAGAGAGCTCGGAACTGTGTGTAACTCAGTTTCCCCTCATTTCCCCATATCCCCCGACTCTGTGTTGTTGTTGCTGTTGCTGCTGCTGCCTGTCATTGACTTTTATTTGTTTTTAATTTTTTATTGACATGTGAAGTTGTAGAAGTTTAGTGAACTTTACTGTTCGCTTTCCTATTGCCTTTTACACTTAATCTTCGCCCGTCCAAAGCGTGAAAAGCAAAAGTTTTGAACTTGCTTTCGACAGTGTTCAATGTTATAATTTGTTATTAAGAAAATGGTTTCGAAAAACGCATTTGCCAAGTGGTTTTACTAGGAATATCATAAGTGCAGCAACTCTTATCGTTCATATTGATAAGTCTGGGTGCATTAGCTTACGTGAATTATGGGTTACCTTAGAAATCCGCTGAACATACTTATAATAGTTATTTCAATATTATATTTACTAACATTTTTCTTTAGTTTCTCTTGCTTTTCATTGAGTTAGCTTTCATACAGCCTGTCAACTTTTTGTTTATTAAACTATTCATGACATTGATATATATTTTTTGGTATAAATCAAGCTATTTCTTCGATCACAACTTGTTTATGTGGAACGCCCTTTAAAAATCCCCCAACATTCCATCTTTTGTGTTGCATCTGACCTGCAATTTGTTGCCCATTGCTCTTTGTTGTGATAATTTATTTAAATGCACTTTACAGATCATTGGGGGAAACCAAGTATAGGGCTGAAACACCTGGCCTGTTGTCAGTCTTTCGAGTTGTTTGTGCAATAATTTGCCCAGGGCTAACGGATGTGCATGATTGCAGCAGCAAACAGCTGCAGGCTTTTACAGGATTATGTATAAAGTAGCCAAAATATTAAGCAGAGCAGCAATAAGAAACATAAAGTAGATAAAAAATACAAGGGAATAAACCAAACAAACGAGATGAAGATGTAAAGCAATTTGAAAATAACTCAACAGGTTAAATGTGATATATGAAGAAACTCATGTCAAAACTCCACAAAAACAATAAACACCAAGTAGTAGAAGAAGAAATCGCCGTGGAGTTGCGGCAATTGTGGAACTCATTAAAAATAAACAAAAGCTACGAAATACAATGGATGCGAGAGTTGGGTTCGGGATTGGTAATTTGATATGGAAACCTAATATATCTATACAAATTGCGGGCGCGCTTTTGAAATGTAGTTCCAATAAATAAACCACTTAAGAGCATAAAACTAAAGAGCCAACAGCCATTTAATGTTTTTTATAGATCATCTAAAAAAAAAAAATACCAAAATAACATGTAAACATTCCATTTGGGATTCATAAATCCAAAAACACGACGCAATTTGTAGCTGTACATAACTTCTATAAACAAACAAACAAACATTTGTAACCAAATCGAACCAAAAAGAAGTAGAAATCTTGTGATGATTAACTGGAAGTTACCTTGTACGCAGGTCCAAAATATAACTATTTCATTTATGGTAAACAGAAATTATATGTTTAAATTTTGTATTTAGAAAAGAACAAGACTTTAGTTTAAAAAAAAATCGATTAAAAGTATATTTCTATTGATTAAAGTCGAGAATAGAATATGATTTAAATTAAACACGCTTAAAATAATTACACAATTGATGTACATGTGGCATACCTCCCCATTTGCAGAGACTACAGAGTATTTAAAACAAAAAGATCTACAACTTTGAATTGACCCACAGACGACGAACAAAATGATCTATAGAAATTCCTCAGCTCGCAAACTCCCGATCAACTCCCTGGGAGAGCAACGGATTGTGGTGCTGTTTACATAGGTAGGAAGAACATCATTTTGGTTAGGTTAGCAATAAACTTATGCTTAATTGATGGCTGATATCTGATGTATTCAGGCAGTTCAACAAAGCTTTGAAGTGCCCTCACTGGCGTTGCCTATAAATTATTGTTATAGACTACGTTTTGATAAGACATTGACGCCGGCAAGCAGACGGCAGTCCTCACTTCTCCCCCTCCGCTATGTCTACCTATCTGGTCTGTCTCAGGGGGCCACCGGAACATTTAACGGGTCAGCGGGCAGCGGCTGTTGATGTGCAGCCTGTGGAAAAACAAATTCGTAGCTCGTTAGCACAGACACTTGAGATAGGAGAGAGAGAGGGAAGAGAAGCAGAGAGAGAGAGAGACAGAGACAGAGGCAGCGGAGATGAAAATGCAATGCGCTCTGATTGAGATTGCAGCAGTTCCAATAAATTTGGTCAGAATACCAGAAATTGGGTCAACCAAAGGGCGCATCAGTGCCACATGATTTTGTAAACTACCTAATGTTCTG